ATCTTTCAAAAGAAGTGAGATATATAGGCTCAAAGTGGACGATCCGGGTGTCGTTCTATTAGAGGTTTTACGGTATGTAACTTTTTGAGGAGTCATTTTCCAGCTCACGGTTTCATTGTATTTGCCTTTTCACTCTGAAACTATCGTCTGTCGAGTTGAATGATGAAATATCATTTCCTACTAGCTCCAAAAATCATAAATTAACCCCTATTTTACAATTTTCACTCAATTATGATGAAGACAGGGTCAGATTTAGATAGAAAAATAGCGGAATCTCCTGAAAACATTCCACTCAAAAGAAATTTCACCAATAATCATAATTGCCACTTTTATCAGTCTTCCGAACATTGTATTATGTATTGATAGGTTTAACTTGGTGAAAACTCGAAATTATCAATTTTCGGGCTAACAATATCACTGATGTATACCCCGACACCGGAAATACGCCAACATTTTCCGAAAAATACAGGCTGGAAAACGATCGTTTACCGGAAAATGTTTTCCATTTCGTTTTCCGCTTCTTGCATACGGAAAACGGCATTTTCCGGAAAACGCGTTTTCCAAGGAAAACATTTTTCAAAGAAAACGGTTTTCTGTAAAATCCTTCTTGCATACGGCCTCAGGTGAATATCAGACCATTTCTAGGTCGTTTTAACATGGTGGCCTAGAAAACGCAACTTGCAAAAGTTAGGCCACCTTGTCAAAATGACAAAAAAAGCATCGATTTTTTTGGATTTTCGAGAACTTGAAGTTTCTGAATTCAGAATTCGTTATCTTTCGAAAAAAAATTAAACTTCTATTTTTGGAATTTCCGTTTTACAGTCACCAAAAACTACTCGGAAAAATCGATCAACGCAATTCTGGACTACATTTCGACGTCTCGCCAAATGGACCTCCTTCAACACTTCTACGAAACGACGCTCGACGCGTTGAAGGACGCGAAAAACGAGCGTCTGTGGTTCAAAACGAACACGAAACTCGGCAAACTGTTCTTCGATTTACACGAATTCGGGAAATTGGAGAAAATAGTGAAACAGCTGAAATTCTCGTGTAAAAACGAGATGGGCGAGGAGGATCAGAGGAAGGGGACGCAGTTGCTGGAAATCTACGCGCTGGAAATTCAAATGTACACTGAACAGAAGAATAACAAGGCGTTGAAGTCGGTCTACGAGCTAGCTACTCAAGCCATCCATACCAAGAGCGCCATCCCACATCCATTGATTTTGGGAACTATTCGAGGTGGGCTCCGACTCATTTTTGAGGATTTTATAGTAAAAATTGGGAGTTCGGGAGCGAAAAAATTAGAAAAATCGATGAATTTTGAGCTAGAAGTTGGCGAAAATCTAGGAGTTGTGAGCTAGAAATCGCTAAGCTCTAACTGGAAAAAAAGCCAAATTGAGCATTTTCGCAAATCGCACAGCTCCAAATTTCCTACCTGGAAATCTGGATTTTAGAGCAAAAACTTGAGATTTTTGGCTCCAAAATTGGGCATTTTTTGAGATTTCTCAGCTTAAAAATAGGATAAACTCGAAGAATTTTGAGCTCAAACAGCTCATTTATTGACTGGTATATGTAATTGCTAAGCTTAACTAGCGTTGAAGTCGGTCTACGAGCTAGCTACTCAAGTGATTCATACCCAGCGCGCTATTCTACATCCATTGATTTTGGGAACTATTAGAGGTGGGTTTCGGCTCATTTTTAGGGATTTTATAGCGAAAATTGGGGGGGGGGGGTTGGGAGTCAAAAAATGAGAAAAATCGATGAATTTTGAACTAGAAATCGCTGAGCTCTAATTAGAAAAAAATTGAGCATTTTTTGGAAATCGCTCAGCTCAAAATTTCCTACCCAGATTGAAAAAATTAGAGAAATTGAAGCAATTTGAGCTTCAAACCACTCTGGTTGGATGATTGCTCAGCTTTAAAAAAAAAGTTTAAAACTCAAAGAATTTTGAGCTCAAACAGCTCAGATTGAATGGTATATGTAATTGCTACCCCCAAATTGGCGGATTGCTCAGCTTAAAAACTTGGAAAAGGATAGGATTGCTCATTTTCAAATTTTAGAGATTTCTCTGTCTGTAAATCCGCTTCTCCGGATGTCCATTCAGGAAGAACAGTACACATGGTATTAGCTTAATCAGATTTATTAAATAATGAAAAATAAGAAAAAAGATGTTCAATCAGAAGAATCGTCCATGAATGTCGTTGTAGTCCTGCTCGCTCATTCCGTGTTCCCGATAATAGAAATCATCGAAGTCGAGCATTGGCGGAAGATCTGGCTGGTCAGGCTGAGCAATCTGTTCGGCGGCAAAGTGGAATTCTGGATTGTACACGTCATCGGCTGGCTCCGGATCGAATCCATTGTTCAGCCACATATCCAAATCGTCCTGTTGAATCTCCTGAAGCTCCTCGACGGGTGGTGGCAAGAATGCGACATTCGAATAGTCGGATTCCTCAATTCTGGCTCTCTTGGCAGCTGGCTCATTGTCATCTGGAGCCACATAGGCTCTACCCTCTCGTTGAGCAGCGAGAACCTCACGTTGCATGTCGCCAGGCATCGTGGTCCAGATTTTTTGCATAGCTAGCAGATTCTGGAATTTGAGGCCGAGCGAGATCTCCTTTTTGATAGATTCCAGTTGTTTCATACGGCACTCGGCCTTGGTGAGAAGGCGTGGAAGGCAAGAGGTGCTAATTTCGTTAGAAATACTAGTGATAGAGCTCATTTTAGAAGGAATAAGTGGTTACGGTAGTTGAATACAACAAGATCAGTACACTGACTGCAGGGACCTATTCTTCCCTAATCGATCTCCTTATATACACTTAGACTCTGCCTGTCCTCACCTAGGGTGGTCCCACCTGTTTTTTACAGCTATGGTCCATGGCCCTATGGGAAAAAGGTTATTATTGCTTGAGAACCAAGACTGGCTTCACATGGTCCATGCCATCTCGCGGGCTATCGATTTGTCGTCATTGCCCCTTGGGATATTGCAAGGAAGAGGAGAAATTTCGATCTGGAAGGTGTCAGATCCGAAGCTTAAAATTGAAGATTTCGAGAGGGACAACCTCGGAAAATTCTGGAAATTTCAGTCTACACGGTCCTAAATCGGTCTAGTCCTTTGTATCAATGACCGTTCTACAAGGTGCCGGGAGAGCTGAGGACAGTGGGGTCCCTGTTGACCTGCTCTAATTCCGTCCATTTGTGTCTGTACATCCCGTTGTCCGGATGTCCCCATACAAAACAGTACAAACTGATATCGAAAAATAGGAAAATCAAAAGAAAAAAGAGCTGAAGAATTCGATGTCGCCTTGAGAGGATTCTTGTGAGGGAGGCTGCTTATCCAAATCGAGCAGTAGCGGAAGATCGGGCTGGTCCGGGTTTGGCTGGGCAATCTGATCCTCCGGTTCTTCGGCAACTTGGAATTCTGGGTTGTAGACGACAGCGGCTGGCTCCTTCTCGAATCCATTCTCCAGCCAAATATCCAAACCGTCCTGTTGGATCTCCTGAAGCTCCTCGACGGGTGGTGGCAAGAATGTGACTTTGGAATAATCGGATTCCTCGATTCTAGCTCTTTTGGCAGCTGGCTCATTGTCTTCTGGAGCCACATAGGCTCTTCCCTCTCGTTGAGCAGCTAGAATGCCACGTTGCATGTCGCCAGGCATCGTGGTCCAGATTTTATGCATAGCCAGCAGATTCTGGAATTTGAGGCCGAGCGAGATCTCCTTTTTGATAGATTCCAGCTTCTTGGTTCGGTACTCAGCCTTGGTCAGGAGACATGGAAGGGAGGAGATGGTATATAGTTAGAAGTAATAGCGATAGAGCTCATTTTGAAAAGCCCAAAAGTTACTGTAGTTCAATACAGCTAGATCAGAAAGACTGACTGCTGGGACCTATTCTGTCTTCTCCTTATATACACTTTGGCTGGTGTGCGTTTTCACCTAGCCATGGTCCCACTTGGATTACGGTATGTCTTTACAGCTATTGTCCATAGCCTTATGGGAAAAAGGCTATAATTGCTGTCACCCAGGGACAACCGGACCTGAAAACCTCAAGGTGACGTTGGGCTTCGGAAAGTGAACATTTAGAAGATCGGCAAAATTTCAGTTTAAAATGGGTCAGCATCGAAGCTTGACTTTTTTGAATTTGGTATACTGTAGACGATCTCTACTGCACTCGAGTCGAAAAAATCGAAAAATCAACTAGAGTGTTCCACAGGGCGCGTTTGCAAGTTTTCCACTGTTAATGACTATAGATCTAGGTCAAATAGGGCCTAGAAATCTGTGATTCTGGAAATACCTAAATTCTCAAATTACTAGAAATCTGTAATTCGGACTGAAAATCAGACAGCGGGCACAAATCGGCATATATCGCTAATCTAAAATAAGCCAAACACGGACACAACACAAAACACTCAAAATGTTTATTTTAATTTTAAATTATAGACAGACGAAGAGGAAGAGGAAGAAGGAAAAGTTCCATCTGGTTCTCCTCTGGGTGTTTTTTGGTTTTTGGGCGAAAATAGGAGAGAGAAAGACGATGAGGATGTGTTGGTGTGGGTGTCGAGTTGTAGAATGGACATTCTTCGTCGTTTATGAGGTGACCATCATGATTACTGAAAAAAAGGGGATTTATGGAGGGTTGGGAGGTATGGATCTAGAAAATTCTAGGATCCTGGAGCTATGACTTTCTCAAGTTTAGGATTCCGAGAATCCTAAAATTCTAGAATCACCGGGATCTCAGAAGCTCAAAAATCCGGATTCCAAGTTGAGGATAAAAGGATCTGGAACATCGGACACCCTGGGACTCATAGTTATCAGAATCAGAAGATTCCAAAGCCCCAAAGTCCAGATTCCCCAAGATTCTTACCTGACACACATGCCATAATGATTGAGAGAAGTGTGAGCAGGGCGAACACGATGAAAATCACCTTGAACGCCGGATGTCCGCGTTTTCTGGAACAATTTCAAGATTTGTCGAACATTCTGCTCCAAACGAGCAAGAAAAATGCCAAGCTTGGTATCAAATTCGATCGAAACGTTTAGACAAAGTTATCTGGATTATTGTAAGAGATATCGACAAGTTGTTAACTAGGAAACTGCTTCTGATAAGATGATGATCATTTTATCAGTTGGAACTTTGCTCTACCTGGACCCTATCTATGAAAGAAGGGCCCGTCAACTTAGACCCATTTATCTCGATTACTGTAAGAGATATCAAAAAGTGATCAACTAGCAGAATGTTTCCGATATTATGCTAAGTATTTTGTTAGTTGACCACTTTTTGATATCTCTTACAGTAATCGAGATAAATGGGTCTAAGTTGACGGGCCCTTCTTTAAAGTTATAACTTTCTTCCTGGTAGAGCTATCAAATTAATTCCAACTGATAAAATGCTTCTGATATTCTCACAACTTTTGAGCTCAAAATCTGAGATTTTCAAGCCTAATTTTGGCATTTTTAGACTCGAAATTTGGGATTTTCCAGACGTAATTAGAGATTTTCTAGGCCAAAATATGGAATTTTCAGCTCCAAAATTGGGTGAATCAGAAGTCTGGAACCGTCATTTTAAGAATAATTATTGACATTTTTAGGCGTAAAAATCGTAATTTTAGGTCCAAAATTAGTTGTTTTAGGATCTGAAATTGAAATTTTAGATTCGAAATTCCCATTTTTCCGGCTGAAAATCGAAAATTTTTGACCTGAAATTTGAGATTTTCGCGCCAATTTTTGGCATTTTTAAGCTCGAAATTTGGGATTTTCCAGACGTAAATTGAAATTTTCCAGGCCAAATCGACTATTTTTAGGTTGAAAATTGGAATTTTCAGCTCCAAATTAGTAATTTCGAGTTTTGAAATTGACATTTTAGATTCAAAATTCCCATTTTCCCGGCAGAAAATCGAAAAT